ACTTACAGAGCTATTTATTTTGGGGATTTATTTATCGCTACAGCTTCAAACATAGCAATGTCAAAGCTATAGTCAGAACAAGAACATTTTGGTTGTAAACTTCATTTGCTTCTAAACGTAAAAATATTCGACCAGTAATTTAATTAAAAGAGTTGTAGGCATTAAGTGAAACGCATAAATATACCAACCAGTATTGCGTGTCTCGTCGAATTGAAGAAAAAAACATGAGATGAAGTCACATTAATGTGACAAGACAATGTTCTTCAGTTGGTAGTCCACAGACATATCAGATAAGGTCGGTCTGGTGGGTGTTTATGCAGCAACTTGACTGACTTGTTATAGTCATAACTAACAGTCACTACTATCAGATCCCACCATGTTCGATCTTTAATCGATGTTGACTCATGTCATTATTAAGTGTCAATGTATTCTATCTGCCTCAGATCACTTTTTCTCTTGTCCTTTTTACTCCTGGATTCTCTTTCACACACACATTTACTCCACAACGTATCTCTAAGTTAAATTCAAACCAACCGCGAGACATCATAAGTCATTTTATTTCCTAATTTAAAAGGATAGAAAACGATTACTTAACCACACCCAATAGTTAGTTACTGTATTAAAGATGAATAAAGCATGAAAGCCAAAATTCGTTTATCACAAAACGCAATGGAGGTAGAAGTGATATCTCACTTAACAATCTTATGAAATCCATTATTAGCACTAATCGGTCATGCTATTCAGCAAGTTATACTAATTTTGTTGAATGTTTTGTATGCAGATGATAGTCTAAATCATCCAATACACGCTTTCATTCATTTGACTATTGCTTGTTATCGGATAGCTACTTAGTCGAACATTTGGTTCATTTAGTAAACTATCTGTTCAGTCACTCCAAATATTCCAGGATATCCTATTAACGAATTCCCGTATCATAACACTGGTGATGCTGATAACTAGTCAAGGCGTGAAAGTGTCAGACAGGACCTTGCATTCAGACAGTCTGATATACATTATGGGGTATTTCCATCGTCACAAAGTGTGAATAGGCTTGCCAATTCAGTCCTATATTGAGTTAGGACTGATTTTATAATTGAGACGTTAATAGCTTATTACATCTCAGATACAAATTACTGACCCATTGAATAAACTTTGCTGCTAAATACAACTCACTCACATATCAGTTAGTTCAAAGATGAACTTAGCATAAGTATGTATGGTCGATGACCTAAAAAATTAGTGAATTTCGAGACTCACAGAACTATTTATGAGTTCTGTGCATACAATAAGAGGTTTCACACTTCATACGTAACCTGTGGGTAAAGTCCTAAGTACAATAGACGATATGCAGAAAAAACAAGCATATTAAAAACATATATTCGTCAAAGGCCATTCACTACTTCTTAGGAAAAGTTATCAGAAGTAAAGGATCACTATTTTACCCAACCATTTCCACCCTTTTATTAATCACTTATTATCTCACAAATTATATCACCTCAATCGAATATTTAATATGTATGAGTTCTAATCGTCTAGTGATAGCTGGAAAATAGCTTATCTCTTAATTTGGAATTTGAGTTTACACTAATGAACATAACGAGTCTGACAATCTCAACCATCCCAGAATATTTTTTGAAATCAATTGTGATTTCTCAACATAAACTGTATATTGTTGAAACGAAACAAAAAATATAAACAGAATTTATTTACTCGTAATGAAATAAAGAATTATTGGGGATAAGAAATGTGAAGATATATTCTTTATTATTTCTTTATTTGAACATATAAATATTGGTACAAGGTGGCACCAGATACATATGCGCCACAAAATAATAATGAGAATGGGAAGAAATAAAGGATGTAAGGTGCGTGTCAAAAGAAAAAAAAGAGCAATAATGACCACAAATTAGTGTATGATAGTGAAATAATAAGAATATAATTGGAAAACAGAAAAATACAACCATAAAGAATTCTTCCAATTAAAGAAGTTACAGTCACCTTTTATGAATAAAGTAAAAGAAGGTTACAGCAGCATCGCCACTGGCTTCCATTCTGAGTCATATCTGATAACTGTTTTACATATCGTCTCTGTGCCCTGACACAATTTGCCAAGCTTCTGCTTTCTAAATTAGTGTTGCCACTGGATATCAGCAATCATTTGAAGACAACGATGATGGAACACATAGAGTCGTCTAACACCATCAACTCGGACAGGCCAGGTTTCACAAGCATAGAGCAAAACTGCTCCCGCTGACACTTTGTAGATCCGACCTTCTACAGCCAGACTCACATCACGAAGGCGCCAAAGATGGTTCACATCGACATAAGCCGTTCTGACCTTCACTATACATGAATTGATCTCATCGCTCACGCCACCACCAGCACTTATGCAGCTACCCAGTCTTCGTTTACAGTCAACCTCGTGGTCACTCGGAGTAGACCGATGGGCTCCAATGAATTGTATGGAGCCTGAAGAAATTCAGTGCTTATAAGCGGAACGTTTCGAGAAGCCGTAAGCGACTTTTCTAGCCATTTTCATGGAGTCATGCTATTGTAACTAATGTTGTTCTATACTTTTCAGTGGGATGGTAGCTAGCCTTGAACCTAGCTCGGTTTGATACTTAGTTGCAACAGAAGCTGAAATCAGTTTAGAGACATCAATGGGCTCCAGTATCCTGAGGGAAGAAATGGCGTATGAACCAATCGTTGGTCACCGGCTACCATGGGACTGTATCTCTGAACGTTGCTCCACTGCCCTGTGCACCAGACCTTTAGGTCGAAGGCGCCGCGTGTAGCCCTCTAAGAAAACCGCATGCTTCGACCTGGGCATCCAGGAAGTATTACAGCCCTCATACAAGTCTGATGAGATGACAATTATTTCACAAATTAATATGCTCGCTCCAATCAGAATTCAAACGTTTCACATCCACTTAAAGATACATTGACTATCCAGTCTTTAATTAAATAACAATAAAAAACTAAACTTGCTGAAGTCATAGATTAAATAAACTTGTAGTTTTATACGACATATTTTCAAGGTTCGCTACGCGTTCTTTTTTACTTTCTAATTTACCTATAAATCTTTGTTAACTAACGTAAATTAGTTATCTCTAATATTCTAGAACTATTGTTGTGACTTTATGGCCCGCTAGTTATCACGTAATCTACTCGCCAATCAAAATACGACTTATTTGTTCTTGTACTGTACTAAACCAGTGACGTCCTACTGGTCCTTTGCTCACCTAGCCCGTCCAGTTGAATCCAGAATGCCAAATAACAGCCTCCATTGTGCGAATCATTTATTTCAGACATACTGGGTTTATATACCAACTAAACAGACCGGAACGCACCATAAACTAAGAAATAACATTCATAAATAATAAAGCCAAAAAGGTGACTGTGAACGTGGAAGACAGTAATTAATAAACTGAGTATAATTTAAGAACAGTAAATGGTATAATAATAAAGTATAGGTCGAAATGAAGCTTATAATAAGAGGAATATAAATATACATAATCTAATTATTGAATAATTATACCATAAGAATGTATAGATAATATTAGTCCATTAATAGGTCTCAGGAGTTACTCGCAATTTAATCTTCGCTAGGATATAACAACTATGGCCCAAACAGTCGTAAGAGCCCGGTTAAAAAACTTTAATCCTTAATTTTGTTCACTAGTATCCACAATTTTTTATTTGAACAAAGTAAATACTGTAGTTTTTACTTTGTTCAAATAAAAAATTGTGGATACTAGTCCGTTAGAATATCTGTTCCAGTAATTTTTAATTAATAAAACTGGCATGGATGAACATTGGCGAATAAAATTAGGGATATTAGGAATACTTTAAATAAATAGTGGACCTTCATAGTCGTGATATACCTTGAAAAATGTTCATTGAAGTCTTTAAAAACATCTATTTAGAAATGTTCGTAAACATTAACGAATTATATATTAAACTACTGATTATTACTTACCTACTTCCTATCCTCACTTAGCACCCAAATAAATTCCGTCAGGATTTAAAACAATTTGCTTATTATCGTAAAGCTATTACGGGTTAACCTGGTTAATCGACTACATCATCCACATCAGAAGTACGCGATACTTTTCTAATAACTGTAACCTATACCTTAATAGTTGAGAAAACAAATACAATCCATGCCGTTTACTGGAACTGTGTCCGGTGATAATAGAGTGGAAAGTGTAGAATTTACAGTGTTTCATGATATGCATGGGAATCGATTACTCAAATATTATTCACAACACTATCAATAAGATGGGTGATTTTATTTTAGCGACAACTGAATTAAGTTTACTGAGAGACAGCATTGTGACATCGAAAACAAGGCTGCAAGCTGAGCCTCTCAAAATCAACCATTTTATCCGAAATTTAGTCGCTATTGATATTTATGCAAAACTGTGACTGTAAACTATAAAATTCAGGAATCTGAAATGACCTTCTGCTGCGACAGGTCATCTTAAATGATAGCAACTAAAGTATGCTGTATTGGGATGCGATAAAAAAACTAGTATTTTATGGACTGACAACCGACGTCTAAAGATCAACATTCATTGGAAATATTACTAAAAGCGATTTTGTAAGACCTGAGGTCTTGCAAGTCGAAAAGCAGAATACGATTTAGAATAGTGATTCCAATTGGTTAAACCATGTTTCTTTAGCACTAGTACAACATCCTATTTGCCACCGTACGTCCGGTCCTAGAAAGATGGATTAGTAGTTACTGGGCTCTACTTCCAACTCTTAAGTTACAGATAAAAACTTCGTTCAACCTACTTTGGTTTTAGTATAGGGTAGTGTCACTAACCTTTAAATCTCGAGTGCCAAGTATATAATTCTGTAACTGATAAGTGAATTACTTTTTTTCCATCCTAGGAATATTTTTCTATCGCTCGAATTACGACTGAAAACCATATTAAGATCAAGTTTATATCTGAAGTCCGTGACGTCATTTGAGCTTATTACATCGACTAAACACTGTTTCCAAATTTTAACCAACTGATAACCGAAATAGCAGTTTTTTATACCAATTGCCTGGAAGCTGTTGTCACTACATATTAATAAGTACTAACAATAACGTGATATATTTTTGTTGCCATATCCCTTCAAACATCTGTCACAATGAACTAATTCATGATTATACAAAAAGTATTTATTAACATAGTATATACAATATATCAGTGTCTATTAAACATTTAATGTCGTCTGTCACGATCTTTATCTCGGGTACGTTTATGATCTAAAATAAGTATTTAATAAATAGTTTTTTTTATTACCTGGTGAACGACTATCATCACGTTTGGATCGACCATTTCGACGATCTCCAGAATGACTACGTCTATTAAGAAATGATTAGAAAGTGGTAAGACCGAAAAGATACTCAGAAACATTTAGCATTGATGAATAGTTACTTAAAAACGAAGTTTGCCTGGTAATTTGTCACTAATATGTGCGAAACAATACTTCTTGTCTGATAAGCCTTAGTAGCTTGACTGATTTCCATTTTAATTAGCTAAATGAAGATAGAATGAGTTACATAAATGAAAGTATCTACCTTGAAGGCTTACCCAATGTGTGCCTACTCATGTTACGTCAATTTGGTGCTATTTATTAAGATTGAACTTATTTTATTTGAACATATTAACAACGATGATCGAACACATAGAGTCGTCTAACACCATCAACTCGGACAGGCCAGGTTTCACAAGCATAGAGCAAAACTGCTCCCGCTGACACTTTGTAGATCCGACCTTCTACAGCCAGACTCACATCACGAAGGCGCCAAAGATGGTTCACATCGACATAAGCCGTTCTGACCTTCACTATACATGAATTGATCTCATCGCTCACGCCACCACCAGCACTTATGCAGCTACCTAGATACACAAACTTCTCTACTACTTCTATCTGCTCACTACCCAGAGTGAGTGCAATTTCAGGATCCTTTCAATTTTGTAGAAGTACTTTGCACTTCGAAGGTGCAAAGCATACACCGTACCTACGGGCATTAATTACCAACTGATTATTTGAAAATTGCATGGCTTGGGTGTTATCACACAGTAAGACAATATCATCCGCATACTCAAAGTCGAGAAGTCTTTCTTCAGGCAACAGATCCACACCACTATTACCTACATCCATCAGAGCTGTTTCCAGAATGTCATCTATGGCAAAGTTGAAGAGGAATGGTGAGATTGGGCACCCTGTCTAACCCGACTGCTTGAATAGAACAGTGAAGAGAGGTGGTCGTATGTCATAACTCTATCCGAGGTGTTTGTATATAGGGCTTTTAATATGTTGATAAACTTCTCAGTCACACCCTTCTTCAATAGACAGTCACAGAGAACAGTCCTGTCCAACGAATCAAAGGCGTTCCTAATGTCAATAAACACTACCAATGAAAAGTGAGATTAGTGCAAACAATAGTGGGGTTGATCAGAGTCCAGATAGGTTCTCCAAAACAAGTGAGTCTTGTACACAACTACGCCAGCGGTAGCTGATCGCGATGTGATCAATCTGAATCCAAGTTCGAGATGCGACCTAGCACATTGGCGATGACTGTGCCGGTAGTTAGTGTTAGGCAGAAAAAGGTTGTGGTCTACGCGCAGATGTAGTAGACGGTCACTATTATCTGACCTGCGACCAATAAGTCCTAATTGGCCACCTAAACGACTCTATTCCGTGCCTATACGCCCGACGTGAGCATTCAAGTCTATGGCTAGTACCACAATACCTGTCGAACACACTTTCTGGAGAACAGTTAATCAGTGACAAAACTCATCCTTGATCGCATCCGGGCTGCAATCTGTTGGAGCGTAAGTAGAAACGACAAAAAGACATCGTTCCCCACACCGATTTCTTGACATATTGATGAGGCTTTCTAATCTAACAGCACATAACCGACTGTTAATGGGGTCCAATCGATAAGTTCTGCTTCAGCTTTAGTGCTTAGTGCGATACGAACTCCGGTAAAACCAGACAAAGATGCCACAGAGTCCCCGGATAAACGTATGTGAAACAAACTTTTCGAAGCGACAGATGCAAAGCGAATTTGTAGTACTTCACTAGAGTCTTAAATACGGGTCTCGGATAGAAAACAGACATTGATATTGAGAATTTTTAAAGACAGCCAACCCTATCTGTTGTCCGATCTGCATTAGTTTGAGAACGTTAAAGGAAGCCAGCTTGAATGGCATACGTGGTTTCAGAAAGACTGTTTTAGTATTCGTAGTCGGTGGTAGCATTCAAGTTTCGACCAGTCAGTGACACGAGATTATTTAGATAGGACAGTGTTTCCACCATAGGCAAGCTGTTGAATAAGTTTAAAAATAAAATACACAAAATGAGAAATACACAAGTGACGTAGTATAAAAGAAATAAAAGTGTCATCATGTAGTTATGAATAAGATTTGTCTGTGTGAGCATTGAGGCAAAAGAACTTTCTGCAATAGTAGTTATCAATAATTTTTATGAGAGTTATGATACTGTCTGAACGCCCAAACCAAACTAAATGGTTTTCTTAGGGGGCCACACCCCGAGCCTTTAACCTTGAGATCCACTAGACAGTGGAGCAACGTTAAGAGATGCAGCCTCATGGTAGCAGGTGATCAACAATAGGTTTATATGCCATTTTCCCCCTTAAAATCCTAAATCCCATGTGTACCATTGGTTTGGAATCGGTGTTTTCCAGCTCCCCTAGGTAGACCCCCCGTGCCCACCAACCCGGTCAAAGCGCCGGAGATTCGCTTTTCGTCCTCTCCATTTCGTAAAAAACACCGCTGAGGAAAGACAGTCAGTAGGAATTCTTTGGCCGTGACTGGTCTAAATCAGATCGGTTCGGGATTTCAATGAAACTCAACAATCGCCACAACCATATACTTACAATGATACCTAGCAGTTAGTAAAAATCTAGAAGATAATGAAATCAACTGTCAACTTAGACATAAATCATCTGAAACCTGAATGCAAAATAACGATAGGAAAGAAACCAAACTTTAGTAAATTTAACTGAGTGATAAATATTTCCCCAAATGCATAATTTAAAGTCGCTCCTTCATAAGCTGAGCTGATGTATATTAATTTACCAATCCCACTTTTACCTATCCAACTGACAACATTTAGACCGATATTACATTTTTTACCAATAAAAACCCAAGTTGCGAGTGATAAAACCACCAGAAAACTTTAACAATGCCATGATGCTACTACTGAAAATGCTGGCATCATCATTTAGACTGATATACTAACATAGAAATTATATCGTATTTCGATAATAATATTAATTTTAATCATTTTTACCTACCTATGAGCTCTCTCACGATCATGTTTGCGTTCATTCTCTTCACGATCTTTATGTCTTGATGATATATGATCTCTATCTCTTTCTCTGCGTTCAGCATGAGGAGACTCTTCACGATGTCTACGTCGATGATGGTGGTCTTTTCCATAATCTCGTCTCCTATGTTTTTCTTTATCCTTAGACTTATAACTCTCTTCAACATGATTCAAGGTATCCAGCTCCTCAACATATTGTAAATCTTCTAAATCCTCATTCAGAAGTGATTGCCGTGGTTCTAAACCATTTAGCTCCTCAAGAACTTCACGCTTTTGCAAACGAGGTAAAATAACATCACAGACACGTTCTTCAGTAAGAAGTTGATCAATAAAGTCATCCATGTATATTAAACTGAAATCTGTTACACACAGGAAAAATTTTCACCGTAACTTTTTGAGAAATGTAACCTACTTCCCATTTTATCTTGAAACTTGAGACGTCGAAAATCGTTATATAACGTTTCAAGATATTTGTATATCTCAACAGAATCACCAACTAGTCTAAGATAAAATGCTCCTAAAGCACGAGCGTATCTGAACAACATAAAAACATTTTTACGAACCACAAACTAACTTGTATGGTTCCTGTTTGATAAATTCGATAACAATATCTTTGTCCGGCTGAATTTGAAGCATTTTTAATGTAAGACATAGAAAAGGGGTTGGTTTAACACTTCCACTATACACACCACCAACATAACGAAGTTCCACAGCTTTATCAACAAGTAATTCAGCTTTACATAAGACAAAGTAAAAGATGAATTCAATATACCTGTAAGAGCAAAGCAATGCTCTTTCCAGAATTTTGACTCATAAATTCGACTTCGAACGATTTTTTCCAAAAGATACTGAGGGTTTGTCCCATGAACTGTATGTGCATCTTTCACTGTGCGATTAGCCATGATATCGAGTAATGATACGCAAATAAATACTAATAGAAAAAAGATACATTTAGTACTACTCAGTAAGTGTATAAACAAAAATAGCAAGCTATCACCAATACTACTCAACTTTCCCAAGATTCATAACGTGGGATTAGGTTTGGAATTGTGAATATTCCGTTCGAACACATAAGTATGACGAGATCTATACAACTAACTATGATACACTTGATAATCTGGCTCCTTGTTCACACTTCAATGGTTGAAAACAAGAACACTAAGGGGATCGTCACATACCACAGCACATTAGCACAACGAACTGAAACTAGTAAGATGTGTACCAGAGTAGTAGATATGGTAATAGCAGCAGTAGCAGCAGTAGCAGCAGAGAAGTTCGAGTATAGAAATATGACTCATCTTGGTTTGAGTGCTCTCTAGTCAAGCAAAGTTGAAACTCCCCTTCGGAAATGAAAAAAAACAAGGCAGCAATTTAGATCACTAAACATATATGAAGCTAGATCTGTGTATCTACAAGTCAGGATCTACTTTTCGGTTTTAAGAGATTTCAGATAGGTTCGAAACAACTGATTAGTGACCTTATGGAATGACAGTAAAACTAATTAACATTCCCAAAGAAAAGAATGAAGGTGAGGGAAAACGTATCAGTACTTCTTGAGGATGATTTTACATCGACGCCAATGAACCTTTATTTATTTATTTAACACATAGATATTAGTACAAGGAGGCACCAAATACATATGCGCCACACAGATCTCATTTGATATGTGTGAGGGGTGCGATACTGCCCGGGTGCCCAAACCGAAGCAGGCAATGAACCTAGATAAGATCAATTGATTCTTAAACTTTTTGCAACCTGTGATCAGTAAATTTACTGATACCTTAAGATATCCTTTAAAAATAACACTGAGAACCCTTCTAGTCGTAGTCTGAGCATGATGATCTTTTGGGACACTTAAACGTATTACGATCTACACCGGTCACCAATGTAGTAATAAGCACATGTTTATTCATGTTGTCACCATTTATGGATCAGATACCCAGGGAGTATTAAACTGGGGAGTCGATACCACTGTACACTGACAATTCGAAGCTGTTGACGGTTTAAGACCTTTTGGATAATAACCTAACACATTCAAGTGACCGAAAATCGAGATAATTCTGTCTACAGAGGGATAGAATAACATATTTTTTTTAGTCTAACGACTGACCAACTTGGATATATTTGGAATATAAGACCGAAAGAAAAAAGGGGAGTTACGACGACCTCAAATGGATAGAAGGGACGAACTATGACAAAACGAACACACTGAAAAGGAAACCAAAACTACCGCTTGGGTATGTCTAGGTCTTCAAAAATCAAACCTAGAACTCTACATGATAGAATTAGCGAAGTATTTGTTCCTTAGAATCGATGTATTTTGGAAGGAGCATCCTAGGTAATGAAAAGTCATGGTTTTTGTTATTTTTCTTTTGAAAATAAAACGTAAAGCAGTATAGTTATTAATAGTGGAAGTAATTAAAGTAAATATGAATGATCATCCTTTGTACCTGCAGAATTCAACTGAGCGTCGACACCTGTTTTTGAAAACTTTGGGGAAGATGTCGTTATTATCGTCTCTGCTAGTGAGTTCCATAAACAATGATTCTGACTGCAGAAATATTTGTGAGTACTTTTGGGTTACCGCATTCGCGTTCTATCTTAAATAAATCTCTTCATCAGTATAACTGAGTGCCGAATTATTCTGTTGATCTGCTAGAGCGAAAAAGATTTGAGCGGTTTGATATTTCGTACTTATATACCCCTTAATCTTTCTGTACTCCACAGGTTGCAAGTATGGAGCTTCTAAGCGAGCTGAGTATGGTTTACTTTTCCATCCCAGTATCTTTCAGTTGCCCTTTTTTTTATATGTCCCAACAGAGCGAAGTATTTTTTAAGTTAAGAAGGCATGGCACAAATGATGATGTCTTTAATAAGAACTAAGGAATCAGGCTACCTCAGTTCCAACACAAATCTTAGGGGCAGTATCCAGAAATTGCAGGTGCAATGCACCAAACTGGATTGTAAGTACATCTCCTAGACTTAGTTGGTAGTCACGCCCCCGAATTTTTTACCAGCTAAGGACGTCCAAGAAACTCCTAAGAAATCCTTCTAAAAGGAACTTGATTTATTCTTGGGGACATAACACACTATTGCATACTACTTTGTCAATATTCCCATTTTATTTAAATATATCGACGACTTTACCCAGAGTAATCAGTGATCCACTGCTACTAGACATAACCACTTAAACCTAAATTTCTGAAAGTAAACCCTAATACAGTATGATTTATTGACTACAGAAGATCAAGTGGAAGAGACACCTAGAGTATCACAAAGAATGATACCCAAGTCCTTTACAGTGTTAGACAGTGTGACACTGCTAACTTTCAGAAAGCACGAACTGGTTAGAGTATCATCTCCATTCACCATTACCATTCCGTACTTATTGAGAGTGAGGGGAAAATTCCTGGCAGTCTGGCCGCATATTCTGCATAAGTCTTTTATTTGAGTCAATACATCATCTAATTCTTTCCAAATTCAGAGATCATCTACGTATGGCAGAGCCTGGGAATCTAAAGTACCAATTAAATCGTTAATAAATGACAAAAAAGGAGTGATCTACTGACTTATCCTTAAAAGATCCAGAATGTCACTGAGAATCGATCAGATAGAGGAAAGCGAACTTATGTGATCAGTGATCTCCCCATGGGCGATCAACGTGGTATTTGACCGAACATTTCATGATGGTCTCTATTTAAAGTTCTGAACAGGGAATGTGATTCTCAACTTCCTCAAGTGCTTAATAAACGTTGAAGAAATCTTTACGAACAGGATAGTTGGGTCCCATTAATAGAGTCTTGTTATAACAGGCAGTTAGTAAGCTCGTGTGTAAACGACATTCCAGAGAGAAACCAGTGTTGGGCAGTTGGTTACAGTGGGACTTTCTGAATTATGCTTATGACATTCTCACTTGCTGAGAATAGGGCAATCTGTCTGTAATTGTAGACTATCGACTTACTACTCTGCTTGTGTACTGTCAGGATTACGACCTTGCCTACAGTATGAGGGTAGCTCACTCCCAGTTGAAAACTATACAAAGAGGTCAGTAGGGGGGAAGCAAATTATAGTCGCATTATCTAATGGGATGTACATTCTCTGCCATTTTAAATGGTACTAAAGTTTATGATTTTTATCTATAGACCTCATTAAACAAAACTAATGATTTCTTCTATCACATTTGGTTTTCACAATACATATGTAACGTAACATCCTTTGGTATGACCAGTCATTGGAGGAACGTCATTTGTTCCAGGCAGCAGGCTTGTTCCTAATGAGTTACCGTATGCCGAACTTCAGCCAGGAGAGACTTGATCTATGATAAGAAAACGTATGTGTCGACAGATGGACCAGACGATTCCACTATTCGTCCAGGTGGACAGAGTTACATTCGTCTGGACAGGATACATCTTCAAAGTCCACTCCAACAACGTCGTAACTTGCTTCGCAAACGTTTCGGTACCGGATATATTCATCTAGTAAATTATTAACAACTATGTAGAACGATATGAGTGTATGAAGTGATCAAAGGGCCATAAGACAAATAAGTTTGCAAATTCTGATACATGGTCAGGGAAAGTGTAATCCAAGCTGGAGGGACTTTGATGTAGTCTCGTGGGAATATTGAGCTACATTTTCTGGCAAGGTAGATTCTTGCATCAAACACTAGTATCAGTTATCAGTTTGAAACTATTGCCTAGGAAACACTGACAGCACCCACCAATAAAATCAGAGAGGAATTCGCTACAGCAGCTAGCTTAATAGCCTGATATAGTAGACTTTCCAGACAACCCGTAGTTGCAGGTGATCTATGGTGTACAATTACCACATAAATGCCTCATATACTCTTCACACTGAAAAATAAGGCCTCCTGATGGCAAATTCATGATGTTCTTGAAGGATACAAGTTATTGTTGTGTTTGGGACGATGCGTTATAGACTAAGGTAGACCCAGGTATTTAACAGAGTCTAATGCGATTGATTTATTCAGCCGGCGCGAGCACCACTAGAGAGTTTTCCAGGCTGTCATCTGGGTCCACTTTATTCTGAGGCAGGCTTTTGAATTATTGTACAAACCCCAACCTAATTTGTTCCAATAAACGTGCTTATGATTGACTATCGTCGAACGTTAAATTATCTTCATAAGTGAAAACACTGCTGGTTACTGTCTTATTTGATGAACATTTGATCACACTTCTCCAAAGATTACCAAACTGCATATGGGGGACTTAGTTATTTTAAATGAGTTAACTGGTACCCATCACGGATAGACCTCAATCAGATCACAGTTAAAAACTAAGAGTCACTTTGAAGCTTAAACAGCGCATTAGTGTAAGCAGTTTAATCAATAAACATGAAAGTGCACTAAAACTTATTCGATCCTTACCATTGTAATCCTGTTCCATCACAAATAACATTGACACTGCACTTTTCGACTCATGCCCCGATTTGGCGCACCACTTAGGCTGCATTGCTCTTTAGAACACAAACAGGGGCTAAATTACTTTTCAAATTAAAAAAAGCTGAGAAAACTAAAGTGCGGCTATCACAAACAACATGACTTGTATATATTATAGAATATATTTAAGTTAGACGACTCGACGCAATTATTTTTTGGCCATGAAGAATAAAGAGTTAGTTAACAAAAACCAAGACTTATAGATACTTCGGCATTTCAAATCTAAAAGGAAATCGAATTATCTTAATACAACCAGGTTCTTCGTAATTAATGGCAAAAATATAGACGACCCCGACAATATTTATGAACAATTTAACCGCCATTCTTCGTGATACTACCACACAGAAACTAATACCTCTATCAATACGTTTTCCATGTTGGCACCTAAACATCTACTGACGACTGGATTTATATCCCCCAACATCAACTAGGCTATAACCGCATTGAAAACGTTCGATGGCAGTAAACACGATA